TGGATTCCAATAGACGAAATACTTTAAAATATACTTTTAAGAGTCCCAAATTGGATGACCTATGGGAGTTGGGAGCTTTGATTGAAGACCAAGAAAAGTTCAAGGGTAAATATGGGAAATTACTATCTTTGTTAAGACGCAAGGAAAATGAGGACCTCCTTTCCGTTCTATTACAACTTTATGATCCGATGTATCACTGCTTTACTTTTCCAGATTATCAGTTGTTGCCAACTTTGGAAGAATACTTCTTTTTGTTAGGTCTGCCTATTCTAGAAGAATCTCCTTTTCCGTTCTTGGAAAAGGACCCCGAAGAAAGAGACATCGCTAAGGCCCTTTATCTCAAGGTATCTGACGTTAAGGCCAACATGGTTGTTAAAAGTGGGACCTTTGGTTTGACTGCAGATTTTCTATTCAAGAAAGCTTCATTTTATACTGATTTTACGAACAAGGATCCATTCGAGGCAATCTTCGCCTTACTTGTCTATGGGGTGTTTCTATTTCCAAGTTTTGAGGGGTTTGTTGACCTTAATGCAATTAAGATCTTCATGAAGAACAATCCAGTGCCGACTCTATTGGGTAACACCTATCACTCTATACATCTCCGAAACCTCCGTGGTGGAGGAATGATTACATGTTGTGTGCCTTTGTTATACAAATGGTTCCTTACCCACTTGCCCAAGTATGTTTCCTTTTGGCATCTTAATGATAAGCGTTGGTCAGAAAGGATTATGGCTTTGACTCATTCTAACATTAATTGGTATAGCCGTGAGTATGATGGGATTCTAATCATTGATGGATGTAGAGATTTTGCTAATATACCGTTACTCAGCTTTGGTGGAGGGATCAGTTACAATCCGGTTTTAGCCCGCCGACAGTTGGGATATCCGTTGAAGGAACCACCTAAAAGCATACAAGTTGAGACTGTTTTCTTCGAGGATAATCAAGAACTCCGAGAAAAGATTGTGGAAGCTTGGAAACATTTGCATAAGAAAGATAGGAATAGTTTGGGAAGGCCCAACTGTGTGTCCTTGGAACCGTATCTCTAGTGGGTAAGGAATAGGGCGATCAAGCTGAGGATGCCTTACTCTCGTCAAGATCTTATACCTCCGAAAAGGGAGCCCACTTATGTCTTTATGTCCGAAACTGAGAAGTTAGATGTTGCTTTAAAGAAGTCGCAACAAGAGTTAGAATCATGGAAGAACAAGTATCTAGTGTCTGTTGCAGAAATTGATGAACTCCAGAAGCAATTACATTTGAAGGATGAAGAGTTACTCCCCTGCAAGAAGAGGAAAGTCATGGAGGATTTATTTTTCTCCGACTCGCACTGCACTATTTGGAAGTTGATTGTGGACAACCTTATCCGTGAGAAGATCCAATTAGAATAGTAGCTCAAGCAGCAGAATTTGAAACTTCCTTAGTGTCCTTACTAGCTTTTATTTAGCTTTTATTTGGGACTTTTAAAAGCAATTATTTGTATTCCGTTTCAAAAATTAATAAAAACGTTTTCTTTTACCGCAATGTTTATAAATAGTTGGGATCCCATGAAGTTCTACTGCATTGCATTCTTTCCTTATACATTTCAAGAAACTCAATTTTATTTCTCAAGTATTGTAACCATGGACTTCAAGAGAGAAGCATTGGAGTACACTTTTCAGAGTCCTAACATTGAAAGCTTGAGAGAACTAGCAGATCTCATCGAGAACCGTTACGCCTTCGCAGCAGAATATGGAGAAGTCTTCCGTTTCCTCGAGCTCAAGATGAAAGAAGGGTTGTTGGAGACCCTTGTTCAATTTTATGATCCGTTGTACCATTGTTTCACTTTTCCGAATTACCAGTTGATGCCGACTTTGGAAGAGTATTGTGATTTCCTGAGGATGTCTGTGACGGCCCGACCTATATTCACCGGCCAGGAGGACGTACCCAGTCACCAAGAGATTGGTCTTTTTTTTAATTTATAAAAAAATGAATATTTTAGTAGTGATTCTATTGATAAATCTGCAGCTAGAGACTTTGATGCATTTGAGCACTTGACTCTTGAATTTCTAAATGATCTGAAAATTTCTGATTTGTCTAATCATTCAATTAAGTTGAAGATTGGTGTCACTATTATATTGATGCACAACTTAGATCAGTCTGAAGTTTTATGCAATGGTACAAGACTCATTGTAACAAAATTTGCTAGTCATGTCATTGAAACTAAGATCATTTCAAAAAAGAATATAGGTAACATCATTTATATTCCCATGGTCATTTATGTTGGTGAGAAGACAATTCCTTATTATTATTTCTTTTGCTATGACAATTAACAAATTTCAAGGACAATATTTAGACAATGTTAGATTATACCTACCAAAAGATGTTTTTAGTCATGGTTAATTGTATGTGACAATGTCTCGTGTTAGAATTAAAGGTTTTAAAATTTTGATTTATGACAAAAATAAAAATTCAACAACTACCACTAATGTTATATTTTTTAAAAAAAAATTACAACATATAATACGTATTACATTCATATTCTTCTCTATTATAAAGTATTTCATTACAATCATTGAATTAATTGTTATATACTTTATATAATTTTTTCTTTAGGTGGAAAACTTTGAAGCCAACTTGAAGAGTCATGTGACTTTTGTAACTTTTATGTTTATCATTTGCAAGTCATGTTAAAATTGCATTTCCTTTTTTATCATAATTATAATATTAGTCATATGTTGAGTCATACTTTGTCAACTTTACAACTTTAACAACTTTTAATGAAATGCAATGCAATTTTTTTGTGGCAAAATTCAATTTCATTGCTCTTAATTATACTTTCTCTCTTCATTTGAGAATTATATAGATATATCAAAATAATTAATAATTAATCTCAGTTAAAATTACTCGTGCAGAAGCACGAGTATTCTAATAGTATCCAACTAAAAGTTGTGGGTACCACTGTTCACCTTTTAATAAACATTTTTATAAAATTATTTTTAAAAATATTTTTTTTTAAATTAAAAACAAACAGACCCTTATTTGGCATTCTCAGGGCCAATCGCTCAACTCCTATTAAGTACAAGTGAACGATTTGAATTGAAGAGCAGCCACTTGTGTTGCCAATATAAACGGTTCAAATATACACAAGTCACAAAAGGGTTTTTCATGTACTAGTAGCTGATGTAGATTACAAACACCCTAGATGGCTAAAAAAAATCAAAAAAAATAAAAAACATATTAAATTAAGCATTTAGATTATCAAACAAAAGGCAGCATCAAATGGCTTCCTTTGTGTATACAGTTTAGTAGTACGATTCAGATCTCAAAGTTAGATTGATTTCTTTCCTTTTCGAGCTTCCTGTAATCACAAATAGATAAACCTGGAATTTATATAGCAAGTCAATAAACCTTTTCTTGTATAAAACTTCAATACCAGCACTAGTCAAATGCTACCCAACAATACCAGGTTATGTATGTATTTCCATATAATGCACCAATATGTATTAATGTTACACATAGTAGCTACTAATATATGTATACAAGTAAAACTATTATTACACAGTTCAAATAGATTATTGAGAAATAATATTTTAACCCTAGAGTTATGATTTCAAAATACGGAAATTAGGTTTTCATGTGTATTTTCTAAATGAGGGTAAATTGTAGAAGATGAAAAAAAAAAGGAGTCAAGTTCAAATATTGGTATTGACCTTTTAAGATACAAATGCAGGAGTTAAGTATAAGTTGCACGTTATGACAGGAAATCATTTTCTCAACTGAATTACTATAAGCTAATTTTAGCAAAGGTAGCTTATAAGTGTGCAATATGCATCATCAAAACCTGAACTTTAGTCTAACCTTAAGACAAGAATGCAGAGATGAAGGAGAAGGGAGTCGTGATTTGAGTGGTCCTAACATGGACTTAGGGTTACCAGTTGGTGCACACTCTTCACTACCAGCACTAGCTGAACTGTGCTTGAACAAAACTGCATTGGATTGATAAAACCTTCTATCAAAATTATCATCATCTGATTTATGATTAAAAAAATCAGATAGGAATATACTGTAAATATGTAATGTAGTTTATCCCACAGATCAACTTTAGAGTCAACTGTAAAGTATGAACTAAGGAGAGTGACCAGGAACTGGCAAAACACTTTCAAGACAGTCAGTCATCCATGATCACAAAACCAGAAGATTCCATCAAAGGTCCCATACCAATGTCCTATATTTTACTTTAATCGCATATCACAAGCATTGCATTACATACTAGATCAATGTTTGTAAACTTTAAACAAGTTTGATGTGCCTACAAATGTTTAAGTTATGTATATTTTTCTTAATATATAAGTTGTTAAAATTCATATTCCCTTGTATATTTTTAAGTTATTATGTTGCTGTCAAGAGTCCACCATTTGCCATCTATCATAACTCCATGGAAGGTTTTTGGTTTGCTCCATCATGCGCAAGCTTACACTTGATTAAGAGCAAAGTAACACTAATGGCTCAGATCAAGGGATTAGCAATAGCAGGGAGACACACACTAGTCATTTAAAAAGGTGATACTTAGTTCGGCACAAGATAAAAGAAAATACCGTAAAACATGATTTTTCACCAAAACTACCTTTAGTGATTTTTTTTCTTGAGGGAGACTAATTAAACTGTTAATGATTGATATTTGAGAGTAAATCATTAAATATTCATTTATATATACTAATTTAGCAAAGTTAATCATTTTTTTCCAAATCACTATTATCATTTTTTGTTTCATAATGAGCCAAATATAGAGAGCCTTTTGTTTTTTTTTCAGTTCACCAGGTGAGAGTTCCACAACTAAAGATGGTCTTCTACCTCTCTTTTCCTTTAAAACAGAAAAAACCAGGCTAGAATGAAGCAAAAATGTTAATAAAACTACCAACCCAATTAATCCATAGTTTAAAGAAATACAATTTCACAGAACAGATGCAAGAAAATAATACCTTCCTGAGATATATACACACGGAAATTTAAATAACTCCTCCATGTCACCGCGTCATATTTCTCCACTTGTCTTTTAGATCAACCTCAAATAATAAAAATTGAAGTGTTAATGAAAGCATGTGTTCCAAAAGAAACAACACAAAGTTTTTGGGGTATAGATTGCATACTCCACTTCTATATTCAAATATGTTGCTGTAGAAGTCTCGAATTGTCCTCCAGTTTCCTTCTCCAAACCTGGATAAGAAATACAGTTAATGAGAACATGGAATCAAAATATATGCTGTCACAATAGTCATTAACTTTCCGTTTCATGTATAACTTGCATCCATGATAGTTCACTAGGAAATTTTTTATTTGACAAGTTTCGAAGAACAAAAACATACATTTTTACACCAGCCCTTAGTGTCTCCTCTTCCAATGAAGTCCATTTCCTTTTCTTCCTTCTTGGCAGTCTTTCTTGTGGTGAGTTATCTATTGAATCATTCCACTGCATAAAGAAGGAACTAACTAATGAGCCAGTGCCCAATTGAAAGTACACACAAGTACAAGTGAACACCACAACAACCAAAAGAGACCGCCAAAAAAAGAGAATCTTAACATCTAAATGATAAAAGAAAGAAAAAACTCTTAGGGGGTGAACATATTCAGAATCCACAAGCCACTGCATCTGGTAGGGAACCGTAGTTCAATACTTAGCAGTAATGAAAGCTTCCTTTACCTCTCACAACCACATCTTTTGAAAGAATTTCCACCATGAAATGTCAAGCATTTTTAATGAAAAAATATTCTTTACAAACATATGAATATAATAAAGAATCTACCCCCAGATTAGAACAGATCATTACCTCGTAAGCATGAGCAGAACTTGCCCGCCCCATAAAGTTGGGGCGACGATCATTACTACAAGGAACAGAAGACTTCTTTGCGAGATTGGCATCATTAGACTGATAAAGTACAACAGTTTTACATCCGTCCAACTGTCGTGCATCTACATGTCCACTCTGATTTTCACTGGGTGGCCCAAGATTTGTATGTTTCGTCGCTAATTTGGATCTTACATCTTCAGATGATCGCAATGCATCAGGAAGAGGATCCTTGACCAATGCCTTTAACTCCATAGAACTTGATTTAAGGGATTCCCGAACTTTCTTCACTTCAGCACTAGGCAAGATTTTATATTTACTCGATAAATTTGATGGACTCACTTCCTCTGCACCAGAGATTTTAACTCCCCTATGACATGTTCGCAGTGCAGAGTGCTTGCGTTTGAGCTGAAGATTGTCTTTCCGAATTTCTACTAAAGAAAGATACCATTAAAAGAATGTAAACAATAATCAAATAGGTGTAGGCATCAGTTCTTGAGCAGTGTCATAATTTGTATCATCAAAACTTGTTTGATTAAGCAAACAATCAAAGTTTAAAACACAAAATCAAAACTTTACAGCCCTCAAAGTGTTGTGTTGAAGGGATTGACACAAAAAATAAAATAAAAAAACACACCTTTATCTACATTTGAAGAATCACACCCACCCACTTCCTGATTTGCATCAACAGTAGTACCAACTCTCTCCTCTAATCGCTCATCACCATGGTTTTCACCCATCGCTGCCACATCATCATCATCACCATCACCCTGGTTTTCACCCATCGCTACCACGTCATCATCATCACCATCACCATCAACATTATCATTGTTATCATCCCCAACAGAGCACATTTTCTCCTTTCCCGAACTTTCTAACCTACCATCACTCTTTCTCAACTTTTCATTACCCGAAGCAATTCCACAAACACCTTCAGGACGCAAACCATTCCCTTTACAAGACATTGCCATCGAATCAAGAAACGAAGGTCCCATAACTTGCCACGCATCCTTCAAAAACCTCTTAACTTCATGCATCGCATCTTTCCTTGTATTCAAACCCGCAAGCCTCTCCGAAACCTTAACATCCCAAAGCGCCGCTTCAATGTCTTCACCCCAACGCGACAACTCATCGGAGAGAAGCTCACTCCTACGTCCCTCAGCCGACAATTGAACAACACGACCACGCCAGATCCGTCGAACCGCGGAAAAGTATTCCCCGGACGGATCCTCATGAGAGGTAATAAGATATTTCACGGTACACTCAACAGCGACAGCGCAATAAGCGCTACGCATTGCCGCGGAGATGGGAACTGGTTCTCCGCGGTAAAGCTCCTCGAGGTGTTCGATGATTTGGAGAGAGGTTTCCGAGAGGGAGGCGTTGCGGAGGTGAGTTTGGAGGGTACGGAGGAGGAGGGTTTTTTTAAGGCGAGAATCTGCGCCAGAAAGTGGAAGAACGGTTAGGGTTTTTTGAATGAGTGAATCAGGTACGGAGCTTCGAAGGAGAAACTCCATGACCCAGTTTGATATGTCTTTGTCCATTGTTTTCATTTCAGATTACGATGTTTTCAGATTACGATGTTTTCAGATTTCTAACGACGAATTGCCATTTTGTTTGGGGGAAGAAGAACAATGTGCTTTGGTTGATACTCTCCGTTTTCAGAATGAAAATAAGGTCCACAAACAGTGTTATTTTAACCTCTTAAATCAATTATTATAAAAGTTTAATTCAATTATTATAAAAGTTTAATTGATATGCACTAATACTAATACTGTGAAATAGTTTTACACCGTGATTTAATAAAAATTATTAATTTATTATGTTATTAAAAAAAATTAAAATATTAACATAGTGGAATTTATAGATGTCATTAATTGATAGTGTGAAAATAATTTAGCCAGTCAATTTATATCAATTAAATTTTATTATAAATAATATAATTAAAAATAAAAACTTGTATTAAATAAATCAATCTTTTTATTTTTTTATTTACAAATAAGACAATGATTTTATAATATAGAAAAAAATTTTAAAATATACACTAAATTTTTTAAAAATTTCTTTAATTTTTTCACATATTTAAAAAAATTATCTATAAATTTTTATTATTCAATATTTGAATCAGTAGTAAAATTGCGATCGTTTATAACAATAGTATTTTATATATATATATATATATATATATATATATATATATATATATATATATATATATATATATATATATATATATATATATATATTTGAATTAACAATGTATTTTTTTTCCGTATATAAATATTATTTTGACATTATTTATAAAAATATTTAAATTAATAATAAAGTTGTTCCCGTATTATTTATTGCTTTCTAATTCAAAATAAGAATAAATTGTAACACAATTAAACAAACGAACATAAATAGAGACAACAATAGTAAAATTGTAATAACACCTAATTGTATACCCTCGTTAAGTTATAAGTATTCAAACGGTCAAACACAATACAATAAGTTTTATAAAAGGACAATAACTATTAGATATGTAAATATAGAAAGATTGTTATTAATATTGATTACAAATGATTATTAGAATCATAACCACATAATTATATCGTGTATATAAATGACTAACAGATCAATGCAAAGGCACGACCTAAATTCTCTTACATCTATCAGATTTGGTTTGTTCCCAAACTCTAAAACCAGCCGTCAACCTTCTTTCTTCCTATCTTCATTTTTTTTCTCTTCAACCACTGCAAAACAGTCATGGCTACCACTGCAGATTCCTCCAAAAACAACTTTTCCTCACACTTCACCAGTCATACTGACCCTCCTCTTCCACCTCCCACTCCTACGCCGACTCACCCTACTCTCACTATCCTAAATAGTACTAATTTCATTAAGATTACTCTGAGCATTGAAAAGGCCACGTATAACACGTGGTCAGAACTTTTCAAAATTCATGCTCGAGGTTTTAAGTGATTGACTATATCATTCCCTCTGAACTAGCCACGGATCCCTCTCTCAAAACTACTGATCCACATTTATGCCTTTGTCTCGACACCTTCGTTTTGTAGTGGATATATGGAACAATCTCCGATGACCTTCTCAACATTATCATCGAACATAATTCCACCGCTGAAATCGTGTGGAATCGCTTATTCGACATCTTTTATGATAACAAGAATTCTAGAGCTCTCTACCTAGAGCATGAATTTTTGCAAAGTCATATGGAGCAATTCTCGAATGCTTCCTCCTACTGTCAGCATCTTAAGTCTCTCTCTGGTCAACTAGCTAATGCTGGTGCCCCTATATTAAATGAACGTTTAGTTCTTCAACTCGTTTCGGGACTAACCGATGCATATGCAACCGTGGGATCCCAAATTCGTCATGCTGATTCACTTCCTCAGTTCTATAAAGCTGGTTCCATGATCATTTTAGAAGAAACAACACTGCAGGAAAAATGTGTCAAGCTCAGTCAAAAATTCATCTTTCATGGCGTCTCACAATGACGCACCAATTGATTCATCGACATCTCGTCCTAACCACGGCAACAACGGCGACTGTAACACCTTTTTCTACCCCAAAAATATAATGGCAAATCATTCACATTTATCAGAGTAATATTTTAAACATAATAAAAATCACCTCAAATGACGTACATTTCTCAATAATTCAAATCAAAGTCAATGCTCCGTAAACAACGAGTTTTTCTAAAATTACTCAAAAATTGCTCAATGGCAGCGGAACTCAAAAAAGCAAATCCAAAGTTTTCCTTGCACAGCAACATAATCAAAATAACAAAAATCAATAAAACATGTTTAACTCAAAGACCCCAACCCGATGTTACACTATCAGAGCAAGACCCTCTAAGTCAACCAAAATGTTAAAAACTCCAAAAAGTCCTCGACGACATCCACGGCTAAACCTGGTCATCTGCACGTTACCCACGTGAAGGCAACATTCAAATCAAGCACGAAATTATCATCAAGAAACAGCGATCAAACATCATGTAAACACAATTAAACACTCAAATCACAAATCACCAAGATCCAAATCGTCAAAATAGATCAAAAAGCAACAAAAGTCATAGATCTACATTGTGATTATTCAAATAAGCTCAAAATTGGATTAGATCTAAAATTCACCAACCTTCAAAGCTGAGATTTGCTTTGGTATGTGTCGATTCACTTGAAATTAGCATATCCAAACAAGAAACCTAGAGATTCTTCAAGATCCAAGAGTTTCCTTGTGGTAGAAATGAAGAACAAGCAAGATCAAGCAAAATAATCCATAAAAAGCACTTCCAATCTAGCTTGCAAATTCAGATCCAAAACCAAACGAAAATTGAATGGTGAATTGAAGATAATGGAGATGAATGATGGAGGTTTAGCTTTAGAAATCTATGATTTCAATGAAGAATCAAAGAACTCAAGTGAGAGAGCTTTAATGGAGGTTTTGGGAGTGAAAAAGTTGAGAGCAAAATCTCAAGAGTGAGAGTGAAATATGAAAACGAAGGTTATTGTGTGAACGAAGGTAATTGTGTGGGGTTTGGAGAAAATCACTTAAATAAGCTCTAGGTTTGGGATCAAAATATGGATTAGCATTTGGAATGGAAATTAGGAGTGAAATTAGGGATGGAGTGTTTGAAATTTGGAGGGAAATGGTGAAAATTGAAACAATTCTAGACCCTTTCAAGTGAAATCAATGGTTGAGAATGATTGGAAATTGCATATGCTGAAAATTCAAATTCTTTGGCCAATTTCGCTTGAAGTAACCGGTTACCCTATATGCAGTAACCGGTTACCACATTCAAAAATGCCCATATTGGCGCCATGTGGAGGGAATCCTGTACAAATGCCCGTTGCCACCTGTTCTGAGCTCCGTTAAGCCTCTGAAACTTGCTCTTGAATATCATAATTGTGAGAACACCTGAGATAACATGTGTATTATCTCCTGAGCTGAAAATTAACCTGCTGAATAATGCAAAAAATGCAAAGAAATATAAGCCAGTAAAGGTTAAAACGAAAGGGCAAATTTAGGGGTGCTACACATGGTTTAACTCAAAGACCCCAACCCGATGTTACACTATCAGAGCAAGACCCTCTAAGTCAACCAAAATGTAAAAAACTCCAAAAAGTCCTCGGCGGCATCCACGGCTAAACCTGGTCATCTGCACGTTATCCACATGGAGGCAACATTCAAACAGGCAGGGTGAGTAAAACGACTCATACTAATCAATATAGGAATCAATATATAAAATAACGTCATTTTCATATTCAACATCATCATAATCATCAAGGAAACACCAAAAAGCCATAATATCATAAATTACACCAAATTGTCACATAAATGCAAATGCAACAAGACTCATGCACGTGGTACCAATTCATTAAAATTCGATGGACACTAGACCATCAACCATCCATAGATCCTCATCAATAGGATTGATTCTACACAAGAACCAGAGCACAACAAAATACTTCACATCCACACAATGGGACTGAAGCCACAAGAATCAAACACTAGACCAAAGTCGGAAATGCATATGAATGCATGATGCACACGTCAATATCATCCTCATAATAAACTCATTAGGTGCATCATCATTCATCAAAATCACCATAATAATCATGTCATCATATAATCATCAAAAAATCATGGAATCAACATCATAACTCATCACCATTACTCATAGGAATCATCATACAATCATGTATTAATCACATAGGAATCACAATCATACTCCTGGTAATTCATCAAGAAAATCACAACATCAAACCATCAAAATAGCACTACACAAAAACACAATTCGCAAAAATTTGCTACGTCCGTTGGACAGTTCGCCGTGCGAACTCGCGATTACAGCAAAACGCTGTTTGCACCAGCACCAAAACCATCCCAAAAGTCCCTACGATTTCCTTCCCTAATGCCCCAAAAATATCCCTAAATCATTCCTAAGATATTACGGCGATAAAGACACAAAATCTACGACTTATTAGGCCAATTCTTTATCATATTTACGCCTCCAATTCCCATAAAATCCTTATAATTTTCCCACATTCATTAGAATTCTCATAATTAATTGCCCTATACGGTTAAAACCTCAACAATAGATTTTGGCCACGAATGTCTAATTTCCCTTACTCCTAAATCAACCTCAAACCTATCAGACCATTAGTTCAAATCCCTCAAACTCATTAAACTCACCAGAAAGGCAACAACAATTCAATACTCAAAATCCCTAAACCCTTAAACCGGCTTTAAATATATTGAATCATATATTGAAAACAATGAAGGTAATACTCCCCATACTTAAAAAACCTCAAAAACAGATTTGGTCTTGAAGGCCTAATTTCCTCAAACTCAAAAACCTCCTAAATCCTTAAATCGACTTTAAATACATTGAATCATATATTAAAAACAATGAAGGTAATACTCCTCATACCTTAATTTGCCGATTCCAAGCATTTATCCTTTGAGTTTTTGAAAACCTCACGAGACCTTGCCTCAATCCTCTTCCTCAGAGCTCTGTTCTCTATTTCTTCTCTTTTCACGGTCTAACAAGAAT